TTCATGTAAATAGTCATAACTATGTGACCTTGGGGAAATCATGTAACTTTTCTTCGCCTCTGTTTCCCCATTTGTAGAGGGACAATAACATCTGATAGATACAGTAGGTGCTTAACAATAATAATAATAGCTAGCATTTATACAGCACCACAAGATTTGCCGAGGGGCAGCTAGGTGGCACAGTGGATAGAGCACCAGCTCTGAAGTTAGGAGGACCTGAGTTCAAATCCGGCCTCAGACCAAACACTTGACACTTACTAGCTGTGTGACCCTGGGCAAGTCACTTAACCCCAACTGCCTAAAAAAGGGGAAAACAACTACAAAAAACCCCCAAGATTTGCCAAGCACTTAACAAATATTATCTCATTTGATCCTCACAGCAACCCTAGGAGCTAGGAGGTATTATTATCCCCATTTTACAGATGACTGCTGGGCCATCTCCAGTCATCCTGATCCATATCTGGCCACTGGACCCAGATGGCTCTGGAGGAGAAAGTGAGCTGGTGACTTTGCACAGCCCTCATTCTCTCAAATCAAAGTCAAGTGCAAGTCATGTCCTCATCTCCCTGATGTCATGGTTCTCTTAAACCACAACTGGTGAGTAGTCCAAGCTGTCTGAATGGGGACCCAGTTGGCCAGTTCCAGTTGGGCAACTCAGCTCCTCCTCTCCTCTCCCCTTATCTGAGGGTGTTCTGCTCAAAGCAAGGCAAATTCTGAAGGCCGAAAGCTACCTAGTAACTTGGGGTTTGCTTGGTAGATTTCCTTCTCAAAGACCGAGTTTAAATCCAATTCACTCTTGATCTCACAGTTTGGACAACAATAGGTCCCTTCCCAAGTACCGTTTAATGGTTCTTTTTTTGGGCCCTCCTGACTCAGAGCAAATGTAAATAGCAACTGTTTCTCTTCTGGCCAGCAACCCTGAGGGTCTTCTCCTCCAAGTTTTGGGTTTTTTTTAATTAAAGGGACCATCCCTTGACTCATTTGTTAAAGAGGATATTCACTGAATGGGTGTTGCCTCACTAAAAGTGAGACCCTGAAAAGACCTTAGCTTAAAAGGGCCAAGGTCTCCCACTGCATCCTGGGCCATCTCCAGTTGTCCTGATCCATATCTGGCCACTGGACCCAGATGGCTCTGGAGGAGAAAGTGAGGCTGGTGACTTTGCACAGCCCTCCCTCACTCAAATCAAAGTCAATTACAAGTCATGTCATCATCTCTCTGATATCATGGTCCTCTTCAAGAATGAAGGACAAAAAAATCACAGAGAAGTAAAATGAGGTAGATAAAAGTTAAATGATTTGCTCAATGTATCACACAACTAGTAAATGTCTGAGTCAGGATTTGAATTCAAGTCTTCCTGACCCTAGGTCCAGTACTTTACCCACCTATCTGCCTAAGGATTTTTTTTTAATTGCTTGATTAAAGTGAAGAAATGTGGCACACACACAAAAAACCACAGAGCATTAATCCACTCAGCAGTGATTTTGGTTCATTCAGTCAATCAACCAATATCTAAAGAGTGCCTACAATGAGCCATATGTATTCAAAAGGCTTCTACCCCACCTCCACTTTCCAGCCCAAGCTTCTTAAACTGTGTAACAGTCATTGGCCCTTTAAGAAACACGTGCATACTGTTAATGCCTGAGCTGCTCCATGATTTGAAATCTCCTCTAGGCAGCTGCTATCAGACTAGAACATCTCAGCACAAAGCCAGACACCCAAAAATCTAGTGTTCTGTCTCTGTCTGTCTGTCTCTTCTCCGCCTCCTCTTTTTCTCTCTCTCTGTCTCTCTTTCTCTCTCCCCCCACCTCTCTGTCTCTCTCTTTCTCTCCCCCTCCCCCATTTCCTCCTCCTCTCTTATCCCAAACCAGCCACAACACCACCTTTGTGCCAGAAAATGCCAACCATGCCAAATCAGAAACAGATCAGATGCCCACCCCCACCCCAACCCCACCCAGACATCATAGACTTAAAGCAGGAAGAGACATTAAAGGTACATAGGCCTTCTTACCATTCCTTGAACAGGATAATCCATCTCCTGACTGCAGGGATTTGCACTGGCTGTCCCCCATGCCTAGAATGTTCTTCCTCCTCTCCGGTGTCCTGGCTTCCATAGCTTCCTTTAAGACCCAGCTCAAACCCTACCTTCTAAAGGAAGTCTTTTCTAGTTCCCAGTTCTCATCCCCATGTTAGTTCCTCCCAACTGTTAGTGTCTTCATGTATATGTGTGTACATGTATAGGTCTCTCTATAAAGATATAGAGATGGATATCTCATTTGTACATAGCTATTCTGTATGTCTTCTCCATTAGAATGTGAGCTCCTTGAGGTCAGAGACCCTGTTTTTGCCTCTTTTTTTTTTTTATCCCTAGCACTTAGCACAGTGCCTGGCACATGGACTGACTAACTATTCAAGTCCAACATCTTCCCTCGACAAAATCGGAGATGACCAGACTAGGCTCTCCTGAGACCTAGAGAAAATCTACCTGGAATACGGGGGTGGGGAAAGGATATCAGGTTCCATGGGAGGCAGAGCACGGGACAGGTCCTCAGAAAGCCCTTGGTGACAAATGGGCACAAAGAAGTCACAAAAAACTACCATTTGGCATATGACTCATTCTACCTATGCAAAAGTCCCAGGATGGCAGAGAAGGATGCAAATGAAAACAAAGGCCTATTGGCAGAGCTCAAAGCAGGAGAAGATCTATAATAAGCCAGTGTTTTCTCTCTGTAATCTTACAGTCAGTTGAAATGCAATGCATGTACATGTACAACCTCTATCAATTTGCTTTGTCTCAGGGAGGAGGAAGGTGAGGGAGGGAGACAGAAAACTTGGAACTCAGAATTTTTTAAAAATTTATGTTAAAAATTGTCTTTAAATTGTTGGAACTGGAGAAAAATGAAATATTACCTAAAATTTTTTTTAAAAAGAGGCACACAAAAAAAGAAATACAATGCATGCATATACTGAAGAATTTAATTTAAGCTCATGGAGGAAGTAGCTTGGTCATAGGAGATCTTAGGATTACTGATCCAGAGTTGGAAGGGGCCTCAGAAGCTATCTACTCTCACCCGCTTATTTTACAGATGAGGAAACTGAGACCCAGAGAAGCTCCTATAGGATCATAGCTCTAGAGCTATACTATAATATCAATAAAATTTATAATAGTAATTATCACATCATATATGATAATTATATAGCACATAATTATATAATATTACAACAGAGATGTATGATATGATATATTATAATAATATGATATGATATAATGTGATATGATATGACATAATATAATGGATCTCAGAGGTCACTTAGTCCAACCTTCTCATATCACTTAACCACTGTTTACTCAATTTCCCCATCTAGAAACGTGGCTAATATTGGCACCTACCTCTCAACGTTGTTGTGAGGGTCGATGAGATCATATCTGTAAAGCACTTTGCAGACTTAAAGAGCTACATAAGTGCTTTCCCAGAAGAGTTAAGTGATTAAGTGACTGACTAGCCCACAGTCACCCAAGATATGAATCCAGAGCTCTACAGTACTCTACTACCTAAAGTCACACAGCAAATAAGCTTCAGAGGATGAGTAAGTTTCGGTTAGACAGAACCCCAGAGACATCCAGACTGCAGAAGGTGTGGCCCCTTTCTCTGGGGTTTGTTGCCTCTCCTATTCCTGAGAGACACAGCATTCCAACTCATGTCATTTAAGTATAAGCCAACATGGAGAGACAGGAAGAAAAATCATGGAATCACACAAACTCAACATTGGAGAGGATTTTACGTATCATTTAGCTCATGGTTAGTCCTGTGCTTTAAAAGGAAAGTCACTTTGGTAGCTGGGTAGGGGATGGACTGGAGAGGGTAGAAATTTGAAGAAGAGGGACTTAGGAATAGAGTAGGATCATCCAAGCAAGATGGGATGAGGGACTGAAGTAAGGTGGGGGTCATGTGAGCGAAGAAAGAGGATTGGGTGTAAGAGCTATTGTGGAGAAAGAAGTGATAAGACTTGGCAATTAGAATGTGGGGTGAGGGAGAGTAAGGAGTCAGGGATGACTTCTAGGTTATAAATCTGGATGAGTAGAAGGACAATGGGGGTGGGGAAAGGATATCAGTTCCCCTGAGAGGCAGAGCACAGCATAGGTCCTAGGAAAGCCCTCAGGAACTATACTAAATGGTATTTTCCCCTATTTCTAAACAGAAATAGGGATGTTCAGAAGAGGAGTGGGTTTTGAGGAAAAGATCATGAACATGTTTAGTTGAGAGGCCAACAGGACATCCAGTTCAAGCTGTCTGATAGTCGCTGGTGACAGAGGACTAGTCTCTCAGGAGAGAGACTAGGTCTGGATATATAGATAACAATAGTATTACCAGCTAACTTTACAAAGTGCTTTGAGGTTTGCAAAGAACTTTACAAGTGTCTGAGGCAGGATTTAACTACCTTCTTAGATCTGGGAGGCATCAGTGCAGGAATGATAATTGAGTTGATGAGGTCATCAAGAGAGTTCAGAGAGAGAAAAAGGTCCAGGACAGAGCATTGGGGTTTGCCCACAATTAAGTAGGGCAGAATAGGAATCATGGTCAAGCAAATGGGCAGGTCCAGCAGGTAGGAGAAAAGTTAAGAGAAACATAATGACATACCTAAGCTTAAAGTTTTCCTGTTCCCTTCTTAGCCCTCTGGGTTCCACGTCCCTCTTGTAGGAACCACAAAGGAATCACAGGATCCTCCACCTGACTTTAGGGCCCTCCATCTGTCCCACTAGGACCTGGCTACAGGGACAACTAATTCTCCCCACAGCTGGAGGACGGGCAAGGACCTACCTCATTGGCAGTGACTGATGTCTGGCCAATGCCTTTATTGACGGAGTCCCAGGACCGGGCAGTCAGCATACAGGCAAAAAGGGGATAGAGATCCCCTGCCCCCAGCTGCTGGCTGTATTTCTTCACATGCTTCATATCTGCCTTGATCAGGGCCTGCCAGAGGTGACAGTAATCCAGGCGAAACTCATCTGTTAGGATCTGCAGTCAGGGATAGAAGCAACAGGAAGTGAATCTCTCTGGCCCTCATGAACCCCGGAGGGGAAGAGCCCCAGATAACCCACCCTGGAGTCACATCTCTCTGAATATGTAATTGGGAGGATGGTGTCTCTGCATTCTAGACTCAACATCCAGCAGAAATGATGGCGAGGCGATTAAAGGCCAAAATTTACCTGAGTTTTTCAAGGGACCACAAATTTAAGGTGAGGCTGGGGAACTCTCATCCATTCTTGAAACTCACTTAGTCCACTCTTGCCTCCATGCACTCATACAGGTCATCATCCACGCTGAGAATACATGCTTTTCTCATCTCTACCTGTTGAAACTCTTTAAGGCTCATCTCAGATGCTACCTTCTCAGTGAAACCTTCCCTCATCCTCCAGCTAAAAATCAACCTCTAATAGCATGGTGTTTGTAGAATCCAGAAGATATTGAAATAATCCCAACCCCGGCTCTGAGGGTGGATCAGGGTTGTTATCACCCACCTGGTACAGTCCATGGTCCAACAAAATAATCTCCACTTTCCCCGTTCCTGGACACTTCCTCACCAGCACGTTGCCTGGGTGTGGGTCACAGTGCACAAAGCCATTGACAAAGATCATCTCACTGTACATCTTTCCCAATTGTCGGGAGATCTGAAAAAGAAAAAGGTTAGGAATGAAGCTGCCATTAAGCTGGGAATGGAAGACTTCCAAGCTGGGCCTTCCACTTTATTCCCTCCAATCCAGTCAGTTAATAAACATTTATTAAGCACCTACTCTGTGCAAGGCACTGACATTACTGGAAGAAGGGGACAAAGGGACTAGAAGAGGATGAGCAGCAAGAAACAGTGGAGTTGATGGCTGGTGAGCCTGCAGTACTTGAGCTGAAGGTGTGTAGAGTGGAAAGGGGAAGGAAGCAACATTCAAATTCTTCCAGTGACAAAAATTGCTCTCTGGAGTAAGTTGTGTAGTTGTTTTTTTCAGTTTCGTCCCACTCTTTGTGACCCCATTTAAGGTTTTCTTGGCAGAAACATTGGAGTGATTTGCCATCTCCTTCTCCAGATAATTTTACAGATGAGGAAACTGAGGTAAACAGGGTTAAGTGACTTGCCCAGGGTCCTTTCTTAAGTTCCTTTCCTCACTTCTCTCCCCTTTCCCTTCTCCCTCTCCATTCTCCAATTCTCCTCCATCCCTTCCCTCCTCCACTTTTCAAGCAAGTCAGAAGGCTCAGTGGGAATTGGGGGTATGGTGATAGTGGGAGATATTCATTCCAGTTCCTTTTCTTCCTCATCTCAAGCCCTATGCTTCTATACCCACATTTCCTCTCCACTTCCTTTTTTTTTTTTAAAGGCAATTGGGGTTAAGTGACTTGCCCAGGGTCACACAGCTAGTAAGTGTTAAGTGTTTGGTCTGAGGCCGGATTTGAACTCAGGTCCTCCTGACTTCAGGGCCAGTGTTCTATCCACTATACCGCCTAGCTGCTCCCCCCCCCCCACTTCCTCTTAAACTGATGAGATGGGAACTTAGTCCTAAATCTTTGCTTAGAAGAGAAGTCCGGGGCTGTAGAAACATATGGACACTGTGTAAGGGTAAGGTCTGGGGCTCTCGGGGCCAAAGGAGTGGCAGAAAGACCATTCTACAAAGAGCCTAGCTGGGGGGGGGGGTGCAGATCAGAATTAGAAGGTGGGAGACAAAAGGCAACCATGCCTCTTGGGCTGCCAGGAAGGTAAAATCCTAGTCCTCAGGTGCACCAGGGAATACCTGTCCAGTTGTTCACCAGGCCATGGCTTAATCCCCCAAGGGATTCTCAGCATAGAAGAGTCTGGACCAGATTCTAAGAGATGAGCAGAGTACGGTGCTTCTCTTTCCCTCCATGCTCCTCTCTCCCATGCCCTCCCTTCCTGAGTCCAATGCTAATCTGATTTATGATGTCTGCACAGATGAAATGACACTGGAGAGGTCATTTAAATCATTCTGTCATTGCTGCCTTCCCTGCCCCCAGTGGCAGCCTTCTTATCTCTGCTCCCTTTTTATTAAAGCTAAAAGCCTTGCTGGAGCAAGGAAACACTCTCCCTAGAACAGAGCCAACTCTGGGCCCAGGGTAGATCTGTTCATGTATCTCCCCAGAACAAACAGATGCTTCTATAAAGCAGTCTCTACATCATATGCTTTACCCCTTTTCCTCCCTCTCTAGACCCAGATGAATGCCTTAATGAGTTACACACACACACACACACACACACACACACACACACACACACACACACACACACACACAGAGAAGACGACCAGAGAAGCCAGGGATTAGTTAAAGGGAAGAATAAAACATAAGAGAAAGTAATAGGGCAAACTAGAGAATCAACCTGAGAAAAACAAACGGACAGTATCTCTCAAATCCCACAGCGAGTTCCTAGATTCAAACATTTGACCACATCCTGCTATATCGTCACAATAAAATGGCTAGGCCTGGCAGTTAAGGTTTCCAGCTTCCTTCAAGGCTCAGCTCACCTCCCAAGAGAAGTCTTTTCTAATTCCCAGTGGTGAGTGAACTTTCTTTCCTCATCTTATCTTGTATTTACTTAGTTATTTACCAGTTGTATCCCGTGTAGAATGAAACCTCCCTGAGGGCAGGGACTACCTTTTTTTTTTGTCTTTGGTACCCAGTACATAGTAGGCCTTTGATAAATGTTTGTTGAATTCAACCGAATTTGCTATTCATGCCTGAGTTCTCATAGCGACTAGTAACCAAACAGTGTCTAGGTAGAGACAGAAAAAGACCTCCCACTATTGTAGTCAGACCTATTTGAATCCATCATCTCATTAGTTTCAACCAATAGTTCTGGGAAATAGGCAAACAGCTATCATTACTCCATTACTATAATTCATCTTACCAGTGTAAAGAAAGTCCCTATTTTAGGCCCTGTCTGCCTCAGTTTTCTCATCTGTAAAATGGGAATAATAATAGCCCCTACCTCACAGGGTCAATGAGATAATAATTGTACATGCTTAGTACAGTGTTTGGCACACAGTAACTGCTACATAAATCTCAGTTATCATCATCATCACCTCATTCAGGCCTCACAATCCTGTGAGATAACAGGCAGGAATTACCATAACCCGTTTTACAGATGAGGAGACCTGAAGAGGCTCAGAGAGGTTAGAGGACTTTCCCAAAGTCACACAGCTAGGAAATAGTGGAAAAGGAGGAACAGGAGCTGAGCAAGGGAAGAGGGTCTTTTTGACACAAGGAAGGAGTTTGCTGTGGCCATCCTCCCCCGGTAAGGTCTGCGAAAAAGCTTCGGAATGTAATGGGCTGGAGAAGAGCATTGAGATTCTTGGTCAGAAGAAAGGAAGGCTAGTAATAGATGATAACAACAACAATAATAATAGTTGCTAGCATTTGTATGATGCTTACTAAGTGTTTCACAATTATACCACTTGATCCTTCAAACAACCTTGGGAAGTAAGTGCTATCATCATACCTATTTTATAGATGAGGAAACTAAGACTATCTGTATGTATGTATGTATATGTGTGTATATATACACATGTGTATGAATATACATACATGTACATATATACATACATATATGTGTAGCCTTAGGGTGTGTGTGTGTGTGTATAGCCTCATCTATGGGATATACATACAAATAGCCTCTATATACACACATATATCAGCCTCATCTGTGTGTGTGTGTGTGTGTGCGTGTGTGTGTATGTGCCACATGTTTGTAATTTTGCTGAACATATGAACCTGAGGCCACCACCATGAGGGTGTAAAATATTGTCTGTCTCTACCCAACTCTACTCCCCCTGGAAAAATCTGTGTGAAGCCCCTGCATCCATCTGTGTGGTTTTTCCATGCATTTATTTTTCCTTATTAAGCTGATGCTAACTGTGTGGTCTGCTCTTTTTAACTCGAGCTTAACTGCAATGTGTCAGAAAAGTAATAACTAATTGAACTATATCTTTAGTTGCTTTTTTTTTTAAAAGTTTTTCAAATTGCCTTCACCCTATTATCTTATTCGCTCCTCATAACAACTGTGCACAACAGATAGGGCAGGTGCTATTATGCCTTTCTGACAAATTGGGAAACTGAGGCACAGAGGTTAGTGACTTATCAAAAGTCACTGGACTCCTATTCCTGTGCCATACTGCCCCCTGCTGCCACAGTGGCCCCACAGACCTCTGACACATAGCAAATTTCATTAGGTGAAATACTGATGAAATGTGCTTTTCTTCCTTATGATGCCTGGAAACCTGACCTCTGACCCACAGCTTCACTTAACAGCATAGCCTCTGGCCCAACAATTCCACATGCCTATCTACCCCTTTCCAGACTTCACTTGTTTACCAGCTGCCTTCCACCTTGGGGAAATTTCCAGGCCTGCTCTCAGGATTGGAGACTTCCTAGCCCTGATTGTTTCCTGAAGGCCGCTATCCACGCTCACCTAACTCCCTGCTGGGGCCATCTCTAGTCATCCTGATCTGTATCTCGCCACTGGACCCAGATGGCTCCAGAGGAGAAAGTGAGGCTGGTGACTTTGCACAGCCTTTCCTCACTCAAATACAACTCAATTGCAAGTCACGTAATTATCTCCCTGATGTCATGGTCCTCTTCAAGAATGAATCAAAAACAACAACTTCACTCCCTACTCAACTCACTCTTTGGCCTTGTCTTCTATCTTCACCTTGCCCTCTCCCCCTGCTTTCCAGATCTCCTTTATGGGTTACCATCTCTCATCAGGATACAAGCTCCTTGAGGCAGGAACTGTCTTATTTGTTTGTATTAGTATTTCCAGCTCCTACTGTTTGCCTGGCAAACAGTAAAAACTTAATAAATGCTCTAGCCAGCCACAGATCTATTTAGCTATAAATAAAATAGGGATTATAATATTTGTACTACCTCCCAAAACTTTTTTTAAAAGTTTTTGTGGAAAAAATGGATTGTAAACCCCAAAGAATTTAAAGTATGAAAGACAAAGGTGCCATCTTGCTGACCCCTACCTGCTAGGTTTCCACAGAAAGCATAACCAAACGAAGTTCATTTTGTGGTGTGGCAAAAAAAGGGGTGACTGGGCTAATTTGGAATCAGCTTGATTTGTCATACTGGGCTCTGCACTTTGGGGGCATGCTCAGGGCTGAAAGAATTAGTCTGAAATTGCACATTCAGAAGCAAGCCTTGGAGAGTGGATGGCTCCAGCAACCAGTGCTGATGTACAATCAAGGTAACAATAGGTCTAGCAGCCAGGCAACAACCCACGCATGCCCTACACTCTCCATACCCCACAAAGTCTATCAGGCCTCTGACCCCACCCCTTTCCTGATTTCTCCTTCCCTTCAAGGCTACCCTTGATAGAACCATAATATTATAGATTTAGAGCTGGAAGGGAGGGCAGAGGTCACTGTAGCCTAACACCCTTCATTTTATAGATAGTTCTGACATCACCACCCACAAGTCCCAGAACATTACAGGGCTTCCCAAATTAGATCCACAATCACTGAAAAGAATTCAAAAGAGTCCAATCTAGCAATCCCCATAGGAAAAACCAAGTACATGAAGAATGCCTTTTGTCCAGATGATGATACACAGACGAAAGGACAAGCTATACGGCTTGTCTATCAGTACGTATCTCTTGAGCAGATATTGCAAA